TATATATATATATATATATATATATATATATATATATTGTATATATATATTTGTATGCTTAATAATTAAATTTTTGTGATTGTACTGTACTCATACTAATTGTTGTTAATTCAAGAGTTTTCAACTGAAAATGTATACCAGTGATGAACATCACACACTCTATAATATTATCCTATATTATATTATTTAGCATAATATTATATAGTACACTATAAAATATTATACTACTGTATACAAATTTATATTATTGATGTTACGTTATTGTTGATTTCAGTGTGATCTTGCAACGTTTCTGGTCAACCAGGCATGTCGTAACTTCACAATTGCTAATTATTTTTATTGGTACTTGGTTGTGGAGTGTGACAAGCAAGATGCACTGACTTCAAAAGACCCTAAAGTGACCGAGATGTATGTGAATGTTATGAAGAGATTTAGTCAAGCTTTGCTAAAGGTAAGCAGTCAATATCAATCAATCAATCAATCAATCAACCAATCAATCAACATTTATAATTAGTTCCAAAGAAAGTATTCCTGATCATCCTTACTAATTTATTAATATAATTTTACTTGTTTGAAATATGAAAAATTTAAAAACAATTATCAATTACTGTCTACTATAATATGATGACAAAGTAGCTACGACATTGGCTTCAGGCCTCAGTGTTTGCTGCCAGGTTACTGCTCACCAGGTATATAATGGAAAATTTCAAGCTAGTTTCTCCTTCCCCTTTTAACCAGCATCTATATTACTGATAAAGTATATACTATGAAGTTTTCAATCATTTGTTCATACTGAACCGAATTCTGACAACGAAACTCTTGAATGTGAAGATCTCTATATGTGATGTTATGTTTCTAAAGCTTTGTCTACACTATCAGATTTCATTAAATAAGCATCACATAAAATTTGATGGAACATACAGTTAAACACATTCAACTTTTTTTTTATATATTTGATATTTTGATGATATGTGATATGACGTCCTCGTATCCATGTATGGGCACATCATATTTTTTTGTCACATAAAATTTGATAGTGTAGACAAAGCTTAAGGCTACGTTCAGACTTGGAGATAAGCCGGGCTTGAATTAAGCCTGGCTCAATGTTAAGCCCGGCTTAACTTTGCCGGGTGTTCATACAAGCGTTATTAGCCAGGTGCAAGAATTTGCATAATAAGGAAACTGTAACCAGGAAACGTGTTTCAAAACATTGCTTGCGAAACGTATGCTTGCGAAACGTATGCTCGCTCACAGCATACGTAATCGAATGCTGATTGGTCATTTTGTTACCCGAAGTCAATGTAAGACCCCCTGCAACTGTTAAAGCTTGGCTTAGAAAAGTTAAACATGGTGGCATGCCAGGCCTAGTTATTATAGGAACAAGGCCTGGCTTGAGATAAACCACCTAGTTTAGACTGGCAGGTGGATAAACCCGGTGAGTTGAGCCGGGTTTATCCACCTAGTCTGAACTAGGCCTATGTTGTGTCTGTGTAATCCATTTTTTTTGTTCTTAGAATGGTAAGCAAGGATACCAGTTCAGGAGTAAGCTAGCAAAGCAACAGAGCTTTGTTGAAAAAATTGTAATGCTTATGGTCAGTATTACTAGGGAAAGTGGAAATAGAAAGAAAAAGGTGAGTATTCAAGGGAGTCAGAATCATAATATCAAATTAAAGTCAAATTAGAGGTCAATCCCAAGGCCCAATTTGTGTGGGAATGACAATAGTTAGTGGCTTGGTGCATCAGGAACGGTTTGGTTTCCCAACCTTGAGGTCAGGTCTTTAATCCCTTGCTGTGAATTTCGCATGTGTCCTTGAGCAAGGCACTTTATTGCTTCTCTCCACATCTCTACCTCTTTATTTCTTAATCTGTATATATTAATATTTCAGATTGATAGGCTTCAAGCAGTACTTGCCAATCCAGAACTACTGTCATTTAACTTCAAGGAGTTTGATGCTATTCCACTCCCCCTTCACCCAGAGCACATCATCAAGGGGATCAAACCCGAGACAGCCACCATATTCAAGAGCGCCCTCATGCCCTGCAGGTTGACGTTCATGACTATGGAGGATGAGGAGTATGTGGTGATTTGCAAGAACGGTGATGACTTGAGGCAAGATCAGTTGATACTGCAGATGATACAACTCATGGACAAGGTCAGTTGTTACTGTTGTCTTCAAAAAGACATTTCTGCATTTTAAGGTACGTTCACATCAAGCCCGGATCTGGTCTGGCGCCCGGACAAAAAATCGTCAGTTGCTACGTTTTTTTAACGCTGCGTTCACTTCGTGCACGGAACACAGTTGTTGCTGATCGGTCCAAGCAAATAAACCATACGATTTCAGGATACAAATGGCTCTCAGATCCATCGGTCCAGATCTGGAGTCCGGATTAGAAATCGTACAAATTTGATGTGAACGGTCCTATTCTTTACCACTGAACCTATTTTTCACAGTTTTTTCTCCGGAATCCGGGCTTGATGTGAACGTAGCTTAAATATGGAAATGTAGCTTAGTTCCTGCCATTTAATTGTGGGCTCCAGGTTCTAATCCTGCAAATTGCAGAATTATTTCTCGCAACTGAAAACAACTATCTTCCTGAAGTCTCATAAACAAGGCTTTTCTCGGGGTGAGAAAGTTAGGGAGTGCCATTATTTGGCTGTCTAGATGTGGTTTTTATCTATTATTGATAATTGTTTCACTTTTTTTTCTTATGAATTGTTTAAATTTAATTTGTTGTTAATGTGATTTTAAAAATAATTAATAGTGTGTGAGTTGCAACCATATAATAATAATGATGTGCATTTCAAATGATGTGATTTATTGTAGCTTTTAAGACAAGAGAACCTTGACCTGAAGTTGACCCCATATCGTGTGTTAGCCACCAGCAGTAAACATGGATTGGTCCAATTTGTTGCCAACTCTACAGCAGTTGCTGAAGTACTTGCAAAGTATGATGGTAATATTCAGAACTTCTTCCGAAAGTGTGCTCCGAGTGAAATGGGTCCGTATGGAATCCACCCGGACGTGATGGACACTTACGTGAAAAGCTGTGCCGGGTATTGCGTGATCACATACCTGCTTGGTGTTGGTGACCGTCATTTGGACAATTTGTTGCTGACTGAGGATGGCAAATTGTTCCACATTGATTTTGGGTACATCCTAGGCCGTGATCCCAAACCTTTACCACCACCAATGAAGCTTAGTAAGGAGATGGTGGAGGGAATGGGAGGAACATCCAGTGAGCACTACCAAGACTTCAAGAGACTCTGCTACACATCATTTCTACATCTAAGGAGGTAGGACATTAAACACAGATGAGTCACAATAACCTAAAGTGAATAACTTTAAGTGAATATAAATTATTTATTAAGAAAATAGCTGTTGCAGTGGTGCTGCAATGATTGTTTATATACCTACCTTCCAGATCAGGGACTCGGGTTGTGTAAAAAAAAACAGGATTGTTTGTATTTGAGATACTTGGTTTCCAAACCATGGTTCTGGGTTCTAATCCTGTCAGTGGCAGGGGTGATTTTTACACCCACCTCAACTTAGTTTATGTAGAGCATTATGTATACAGTATATGTCTTGTGTAAGAGATTGCCACCTATATAAGATGGTGATTAATTTTGCTACTTTCAATAGTTCAAAAGCATTCCAGCTATACTGTACTGTCATAATTTGTATTTGTTAAACATATAATAATTGATGATATATATTTCAACTTGTAAAATTAACAAGTTTTGTCTCTCTCTCTTTCAGACATGCCAATCTGATTCTTAACCTGTTTTCTTTGATGGTGGATGCAAGCGTTCCTGACATCGCCTTAGAGCCGGACAAGACTGTCAAGAAGGTATTTATTCAAATTAAAATTGTCCATCATTATTGGTTGATATTAGTTTGTTGATTAGTGTGGCTTGTAACAGTCTATTAATGAGTCTCATTTAGTAGATCGGGTAGAGGCAGTTCATATAAACATACCATTATTAAATTTAAGAAATGAGTGACTGGTATTTAGTGTAAAGCTGTGGCTTATTGCTTAAGATCCCTTCCCACCCACAATGGCATGGTTTAACTTCCTGCATATGTATTTTCCTCACTAAAATTAACTGCTAACTGCTCTCACATATTTTTTCCTGTTTTTGTTCTTTATATTTGGTAGGTACAGGATAAGTTCCGTTTAGACCTGACTGAAGAAGAAGCTGTACACTACATGCAGAATCTGATTGATGTTAGTGTGGGGGCGGTATTTGCTGCTGTTGTTGAACAGATTCATAAATTTGCCCAGGTATAGTAATACACTTCCACTTTGCTTACTACATAAAGCTTACTACACTAAAATAGAAATTAAATACAACCACTATTTTCAACTTCTAGCAATATTATCAACACTTAAAAATTATGAAACACATAGAGGCTTTATGTTGCATTATGATACTGTTATCATATAATATAGTAATTAGTTTTGTGAATATTAGTTCAATCAAAATTGTGAATATGATTATTTTTAGGAATATGATTTGTAAATATGATTATTATTTTTCATTATATCAGTATTGTGATTATTTTATTTTTCACACCACTATGTACATAAGATGTGTACATTGAATTTAACTTATTGACAGTCTGTACTTTTATATTTCAGTACTGGAGAAGATGATGACCTGCAACGAACTTGAAAGAGTAGCAATATTATAGCTCGACCTGTATACGGACACCTGCAAAGGTAGCAACATGCAAGTGAGATGTCACATCTGTTGGTTTCATTATTGAGCTTCTTATAAAAATTCATCTGCATTGTCCTGTTGATTTGCAGTTGGTATTTTGAATTGTTAATGTCCACTATTGATTGTGTTCGTAACAGTTAAGCTTAGATTATCTTATGTAAAACTCCTGTTGGCATCAACCAGAATATTAAGTCAAGTGTGAAGTGAATATATGTCCAACATGCTCCTGCAGAAATATGTACTATATATAATTCTATTTTACTTTCAATAAAAAATACTTAGATTATCTGTAATGTAATTAATGTATATGTTTATAACTTTTCAAATTATTTACAGGAGAAAAGCATAAAAATCTGTCATTAAATGAAGAAACTGTGCTTTGAAAAATATAGGCCTATAATAGATACTAGAGACATAATGCTTAGGAATAGGCCTGATATACAGTCTGTATTTTAGTGTATGTATGTTGTGTGCAGCTTTAATGCTTTTTGGCTGTCACTAACAGTTATGTCACTTACAGTGTTCACTGTAAAACAATGATATTCTCCAGATGGCTGTCAATAATCTCATTAAAATATTGAGACATCAAGCCAATTCCTTTTTTTTCTGAGAATCGTTTTTTTCTCGTAAAGGTCTCCCTCCAATGAAAGACCACTTTAGGGACCAGTGTGTTCATAGTCTTTAGCAGCTTTGGTCTTTAATTAGACAAATATTATAAAGATATAGATAGGCACTCATTTGAGGACTGCAGAAAGGTAGTATTTCATTGGAGGGATTGGAGAAAATACTAGTTCAATGGAATTGTAATTATTATTGATGGCTACCCAACCATTCAGGATATATTATTTAATGAAAAGGAAGATTGCACATTGTTGACATAAGGTGCTGTAAAAAAAAATTGTAAAAGCAATATAAAAAATATGTTCACAATCTATATGGTAGCAATTTAGACCTATTCAGAAGAAAACAATTGACTATATAAAATGATAAGATCAAAAGAAAAACACTAATTATTACTGAATATACTGTACTTTTGTTATCTATTGAAATATTTGCGATATTTTTAATCTTCAAATTATTATGTGCAATTTACCTCAGAATAAAATTACAAATACGTCAATTGTACACACTTTTTGTATCCTTTATTCAGTGTCAGTAACTATTTTTGCTTGTAAATTCCACATTTGAAATTCCAACCATGTTTTGCATGGAAATTTATTTGTAAACATGGATATTTTATTTTTTGCTGATAATTCCCTGATCTATGGGTGCTATAAGTTTCAAATCCAGTAAAAAAAGGCTGATTTAGACAAAATAACCTTCAAAATTTTGGCCTTTGTCATACCAAGTGGCGGCACCAGCGGGGTGGCAGAGGGGCGTAAGCCCCCCACCGGACAGGTCAAGTCCCCCTGCCGGACAGAGCTCGTCGGGCAATCAGACCATAAAACACATAAAAATAGGCCCACACCAAGCCAACACACTGATGTCTGTCACAGTCTGAGAGTGCCATTTTCGGCCATCTAGAGGTTGATAAAAAAAATCTCATTTCGGAGGGGGAACCCCCTCTTTACCCCTTCTCCCAGCTCGAGCCTACGAACTCAAGGCCCCCCTGTTGGACAACTTAGCCCCCCCAGAAAATATATCCTAGAGCCGCCACTGGTCATACCACCCTGGTTCTTAAGGTGGCCAGCATGCCAAATGTGACCCGCGGAGCGATTAAATCAGGCCAGTGTGAAATAATTAAATTAAAAACAAATAATAATATTTACACAGCAATTTAAGAAAATAGCCTTTACTAAAACGTCTCATACACGCTTTGTGTGTAAAGTTGAGTGTGATTTAAATTAACAGAAACCATTGTTACATGTTTATGAATGTAACGTCATCTTTTCTCTACGATAGCGTATGCCAAATGTGAAATATAACGAGAATAAAACATACTATTTTGGGAATAAAACGTACATTGGTCGCGTCTGCCTGTGTTACAGCACGACGACGGCAGCCGTGTATTCACTCACAGTGAATCATGGCGTCGGTCGATGAACGTGCTTGTTGCAAAACTCATGAAATGTGTTGTACTTGCAGATTTCAAGGAGAGCTAAGTTATTCAAAATTATTGAATAATGTTCCTAAATTCACACCAATAACTTTGGCAGACTGGATGTCTA